TTCACTTAAAAATAAAAATACGATTTGACAATATCATGAACACAATAAAAATTAAACGTGACAATTGCTTTTACACCGATAACATTTTTTTATAGTCTTTTATTAAAATTGTTGAATTGGAAGATTTATTGCATTATTATCATTAAAAACATTTTTTTATTTATTTTATAATTTCAATATTCTCGTTTACAAAAAGGGTCCAAAGGCTGATTCAAAAAAAATTGTATAAATACGAGTTTATAGCAAAATTACTAATTCCCATTTTGATAATCGTCAATCTCGAGATCTGTTGGAAGAAGAGAAGAAATTCCGTAGTCGTACCATCCTCCAGTATAGCCGCTTTTGTGTGAAGCATGCAATATTTTGCTCATGCGTGTATTTGAGGTATCTGCTACGGTGTTATACCATCGCATTAGTGTTTGCTGATTTCTTTGTGGACAATTTTAAACTGCTATGCTCTTACCTGCTTAGGTTTGAGTAACAGTATGTCCCTAGATTTCTGCAGGTTCTATTAAGTCAATGAGGTAGCCGACGAACTTGAAATGGGAAATTTGTTCAGATTATTTTTTGGTCGATTTTGAATTGGTCTTTGTAAAATTATTCTTATAAAAAAAGAACTAAAAAGAAATACAAAAAAAAAAAACAAAAAATATAAAAAAATACAAAAAAAATCAAAAATACAAAAAAATAAAAAACAAAAAATACAAAATAGTTTAGATCCTGCGTTCAAGGGAATATTGAAAAAATATCACAAAATATATTTAATGAAAAATTAAATTTAATAAAATGCAATAAACAATCTGTTCAATAATTTTTATCTTCTAAATTGATTTTTTTTTTGTTTAAGTAACACTTTATATTGCAAATTAATTTTTGAAAATATTTCTACAAAGAATAAAGTAATTGTTTTTTCAAGATTAAGTTTTATTGTGCACATGAAATAATTGATTATTTAAAAAAAATACAATAAATAAAAATTTTATCAAAATAGAAATATATATTTTAATATTATTTATTGTAGTTTTTTATAGTATGATTTAATTGATTTTTTTTATTTAAAATATTAATACTTTTTATAGGAGTTTAAAAATGTTTTGATTTATTCTAAAAGAAATAAGTATTCGAATTATTGAGAAGAGGTAGATTTTTAATTTTATTTTTGTGAATATAAATGATACTTATTTCTTTTTTTATTTCATTTTTCATTCATCCGTACTTTGGAGGGGATTCAAAAAATATTTTATCAAAAAATATGGCCTCGTTTAAAACTAGGAATTTTAAAAAATGTTTCGTGTATTTTTTTCTGTCACATCATGTAATCAGGTTTAAAAATTTGTTCAAAATTCTCTAAAATACTTTTTATAATGTCACCGTTGAAGTTTAGTTTACCTCCTTTTCGTACGCATTTAAAATTAATAAAAAATGACAGACGATTTTTTTTCTGTCAATCGACTGACTATACCTGTAAAATTTACAATTTTCGAAAATTTGAGAAATATCTAATTTTTTGATATGTTAAATTTGACAGGTATAACCAATTGACCGAAAAAAAAATTATTTTTTTATTATTTTCGTAGCAAAAACTCATGAACTCAAAATTTGCGAAAACTAAATAATAAAAAATGTCTGCTTCATATGGTCTATATTTTTTGTTTGCTTCTTAGAAATTTTTTATTATTATTATCATTATTATTACAAAAAAAATATACTTCATAAATAGTATGGTGTAAATTAAAATTTATTTTGACTTTGCCTCCCACTTCGGTGTCACAAGCTGAATTTTTCAGGGATGAAAGTAAATGATAAGCTAACCCTTATTCCGGAGGTAATACAAAATTAGACAGGGTAAAAGGGCACTATCATAAAAAATCGAATTATTGATATCACCGTATAGAAAAAAAAATGCATATATTTTTTGTTCTAATGCACAATTAGGTCTCTGTAGGAAATATTTTTTTATAATTATTTAAAAAAAAATCATTTGCATTAGCCCTTATGGTCGGAAAAAAATTTAAACGTCAATATCTCGTTTTCAACCGTCCACAAATTGTATAAAAAATCTTTTAGAAATATACCTCTCATTTGACGAAAAACGAAGGCCTAAATGAAAAAAAACTATTCTTCATAAAAGTTTCGCCTATGTATTGACATGGTAACAGTGCTTTCCCCATATTTTTTCCTTTTAAATTAACAAAAATATAGCAATAAACAATTAGTGATGTCATGGTTTTACCAGAAAGCAAACATTGAAGGCAGAGCTTCTCGTCTCTCTATGCGTCTCTTTCAGTGCTGAAATGTATGCAATCAATCTGACTCTCTTATATTATTTTATACAGAGATTATTGATTTATCCTTTGGCTAATACCGCAACAAGGAGTAATTGTTTTCTGAAGGGAAACGGTCGTTGGTATTTTATGTGATATTGGCTTTGAGTTTTATTCATTTTATTTTACGTCTTATCACATTTGAGTTTGATTTATTTTCGTTTTTAATATTTTTTTTCCTGCATTTGCAAATTTTACTTCCACTGTCTAGAACAGAATAATATTGTTAGGATATTGTACATCTATGAAAATTATCGATGTATAGTACCTTTTTTGCATTTGCATGATGTAAGTTCTGTTATGTCCATCCATACTTTTCAACATTAGGAAGCTGCATCTGCAGCTTTAAATAGTTTAGCCAAATATTTAGATGGTAAAAACATCTTAGTCCTAAGGCGTCTTCAGTCGGTGGCAATTTAGCGATGTTTCTTGAAGAGGCCATTAATCCCCTCAAAATGTTAATGGAAGTAACATTAGCAGTTTTTAAATTTTTATGAAAAATTTTTCATGATTAGAGAATATGTTTTCAGATTACTGATCAATGCCAAATCCATCCAAAAGGTGATGGTGTTCAAGGTAGATTTTCCAACAGATTCTTTTCCCAATGCCAGACAAGTGGCTGGTTATATCACAACCAGTCAGAGAATGAAAAGCGGGCAAATTTTTTAGATTTTTATCCACATTTAAATTATGTACTACTAGAAATCGTCTTGAGTCTCCTCGCCCTATTCTGAACCATATCTCTTTAGTCAAAAACTTCTTAAAATAAATTAATGTTTAGAACATCTGTATCGTTGCAATCAATAATGCAGCGTGAATGCCCCGAATTTTTGGCTGACAATATGTGCAGTAAGATACGAGTATCAGCTTCTTCGTGATTTGAATGTAAGAAATCGTCTTTTCATGGTTCAGGTTTAAAATTCGTCTCATATTTATTAATATTCGCGAATCCACCACTAGTTACAAACTGAATATGCTTTTGTTGAATGGAATTTTGAAGAAGTTCTCGGACAGAAAATTTGTTAAATATTGAATGAATAAAAAAGTTCCATTGTTGCGGAAGTGGAATATTGGTTTGGTCAATTTCTATATCAATTGATTTCTGGGATTCTCTCTTTTGACGTGTTGTATTTTTGATGGAATGTTCTTTATAATGATCACATCTATCCTTTGGGCATTAACTTTATTTCTAAAAATAATGTTTACAAATATATTAGCATATTCTTTAAATGATATGGAACTTTTGGGCTTCCCTATTTTTATATCATTTTTGTCTTTGCTTCTTGCAACAACAAATCCGTAATTAAAATTTTAAACGAAAACTTATAACTTACCCAAATATATTCAGATGCAACAGGATGAATGTAGATATAATAAAGGCGCAAAAATGTCTCTATTTCTATCCAATTTATTAGGTACTTTAATATTTAACACATACACTTAAAAACAGATATCAATATGACACATTGCCCATTGGCACCTAACGAGAAGCTTTATAATAAAAAAATGAAAAAAAATCCTACCATAACAATAATGTGATACATCAGCCGGCACGTAGAGAGAAACCGAGCTATGCTACGTTTGAAGGCGAAGAGAATCGATGAAATTGGCTGTGAGAATTAATTACAGTGTAAGCCTATGACATCTCTCATCGTTTATTGTTATATCTTTGTTAATTCAAAAGCAAAAAATATGGAGTTTACTCTGTTATCTTGTCAACATATAAGCAAAAATTTTATAAAGATTTTTTTTTCATTTAGGCCTTCTTTTTTTGTTAAATGAAGGGTATATTTAAAAAAGAACTTTTCAACCAAATTTTTGAAGGGCTGAAACGGAGATATTTACGTTTATATTATTTTTTGGCCGTAAGGGCTAATGCAAATGATTTTTTTTTTAAATAAGTATAAACAATTACTCCCTACAAAATTTTTATTGTGCATTGGACCAAAAAATGAGTATTTTTTTGTCTATTCGGTGGTATCAATATCTGGATTTTTGTTGATAGTGCCCTTCTGCACAGTCTAATTTTGTATTATCTCCGGAATAAGGGCTACCTTATTATGACCTTTCATCTCTGAAAAATTCAGCCTGTGACAAAAGAGTGGGAGGTAAATTGTTTTCTACATACACTCTACTAAAAAAAAGTTATGCATCACATAAAAATCAATACTCAAGAATCAAATTTGTAAAATATTTAGTAGTATTTATACAGGGAAATCATTTTTTTTTACTTTAAATGTATTAATTATTAGACCATGAATCTTGGACATAATTTTTAATTCCTATCAACATTTCCAAATGACTTCTTGTACTGTAATGAAATTCAAAAGCACTACTTTTTATCATAACTCATTTTTTTTTATTTTCCCTGTATTGCCACTAAATATTTTACAAATTCGATTAATAATAAATAAAGGAAGAATATATTTTTTTTGATTAATAATAAATAAATTATACAAACTATATATTTCTTATTGTTTTATCAAAATAAAATTTATTATAAATGAAAAAGGAAAAAATTGCACGAGTCTCGTTAAATTCCATTTAATAAGATATTTTTTGATCTGACGATAATTTTTATTGTTTTGATATAATATATGCTCTTTGCGAGTGTTCCCAGGTCTTTGCTATTATAAAACGTGGCCACATTGGCCTCCACAATTTTTTTGTCTACAGTGAAGTTAGGAAGAGGTTCCCCAAGTGTATGAAATTGGTAAGTCTATATAATTTTTTTTATTAATCATTGAGTACTTTTTTGCAATAATGATTTTATAGATTTTCAATGGCTGCATGTTTCTTTGCAGAATTTTAAAAAATTAGCACGTTTAGTTTGAAAGATGGTAATTATGGTTTACTTTCCATGAAAATAATAGGTCCCTTATACATAAAAGTGACAATTTGATAGTTAATCTATAAAAAAATCTAATATTGTTAACGTAACACCCGTCTATCTGTAATGGGCAATTCTGCTATCAAAACGAATTAAAATTAAAATATATGACATAAGAAACCCTAGCAAATGTTCGTCTTTTAAAAAATAATTACCAGATCTTTAAATGTTTTGTTTCTACTTTGATATGTGGCAACGTCTTAATAACACCCTATAGTCCGTTGCAATTTATAGTAGAAAATCGTCTCGCTTTAAACATGAAGGATCGTTGTGTATTAGCCGGAACAGGGACGGTGCTCCCAAATGGACTTTAAAAATTAATGTTTTCTGTTTGGGGAACAAACATGATAATATTAATATTTCGTAAAAATGTTTGTAAGATTTTTTTAGTTTTCCTTAAGACTTTAACCTTAGCAACAAGTGGTTGCATCTTAGCAAGAGGAAAGATATACTTAATATAAAAAAACCTTTCCCGCAAGATTCGTGCCAAAAATCTCAGATACCAATTTTACAGCGAAAGTAACGCGTAAAGTAATAGTCATTTTATATATTTTAATATTTTTCTGATCCGAATCTTAATAAACATCTTTTGTATTAAACATAAATGCGTTACATAGAAAATAATGAGAGTCAGGCTATTAGTGACGTCATGCGCATGGCAGACAAAAACTGAACACGGGAGCATCCGGCCCTGGGTAGTACTGGTGTGGAATTTACCTAATCGCTTTAGTTTAGCTTCAAAGTTTACGCGATTTGGTCGATGTTTCGGTACTATATAGTTAGATTAAGTAGTGAAAATGAGTGAGGTTGTTAACACGTTCGCGGACATGAAGGATTTCGAGGGTGATGCCATATCGCCACTACCATATTTTTATATTCTTTAGAGATAGATCGGTGAAACAAGTTGCGATGGGTTTGTTATTATATTTTATGGTATTTTTTATAGAAAAAAACAAAGGCGGCAATTGCCGCCGCTTTGTCCCTATATATCACGCATTTTTATCATTAGGGACAAAGCGGCACGGCACATGACGTATCTTCTTTCCATAAAAGAACTCTTTATTTTTAGTCTTCTAAAATTGGTATAAAAATGTGATGAATTGCTTATCACAGCCTATCTGTATGGTGTAATTCAAAACACGGCACAATACAGAGTGGTGGTTGGTCGGGACATGTTTTGCACATATATTTCGTTTCCTTCCGTTTGTTATTTTTCAAGCATTCCCTGCATCTTCTGTGGAATGATTTCCGAGGATCTTTTTGATTGGGAATATTACCTGGAAAATGCATATTTGGTAAATCTGGTACTGCATTATCTGTTCGTTTACGCTTCCCATCGCGTAAAGGTCCGTTATTTATCAGTTTCCTCCCATCATGCAAGTCAGAAGGTATACCAAGCAGTTCTTGGGCGAGCTTTTCCCTGTATTCAAGAAGTATTTGTTTGTTATCATACTTCTTCAACACGTAATAAGCATTCCATATTGCAATATCTAGTAGATGAAACATCACCTTTTTGACCATCTAATAGATTTACGGGGAGATGAATAATAACTAGTCATCTGGTCACAACGATCAACTTCAGACATAAAATCGTTGTCTCGCAATCTCCTCCGGCTTTTCTTTAATTTTTCCAAATCTATTACTAACATTTATCAGCTTTGGTTGATATTTTGTTGTTATGCAATGGATGTCTCGCTTATCACGCCACTTTGTAACATAAATGCTACCTTTTCGTTGCCATACATTCACCTTTTTTAAGTTTCTTCTTCATAACAGTTTGCGGATTACCGCGCCTATTTGACCGTAGAGTGCCAGTAGTGTGCGTTTTTCTGTTTAGAAGTTTCTTGGAAAGACTGACGCTTCAGAATGGCCCTTATAAATTTTCATGTTCAACACGTAACCATCTGTTGTGCAGAGCTCGTAAAACTTTATACCGTATCTAGCTCGTTTGCCTTTGATGTACTGCCTAAAACTAAGGCTACCACGAAAAAGTAAAAGCGATTCACCTAGTGATAGCTCCTCCTCTGATGGATAGTAGACATTTTTAAAATAATGCAGTAGTTTGTTTAGTAAGGGTGACACTTTATTCAATCTGTCGGTGGGCTCAACTTCCTGGGCATATGAGCACGAAAAACACCTCAAAATCTCTTCAAATCTCCTGCCTGAGAGCGTATAGTTAAAAACTGGAGAGTAGTATAAAGGATTCATGGAGAACACTTTCCTTATAGAAGGATATTTTATCTGACCTTGAAGAACACATATTCCAATAAATTGCTTCAACTCATTCATTGTAATCGGCTTTATATTGGAATATCTGCAGTACTTTCTTTGAGGGCGATTGGTATTCTGTAAAATACGAGCGTAAGTGTTCATTGAAAGAAGCACCATTTCCATGATTTCGTTATCCCAAAACTTCTCGAAACAGTCCAGCACCGTTGGTGGATTATCGACAAAGTTTATACGGATACCAGAGCCCGATTTGTCAAAGTCAAAATTGGGAATATCCGAAATTATATCGCACCACTCTTCTCCACTGTCCGTATCTTCTGGAGATCCACCGTCCGCATCTTCTGGAGATAAATTTTCCCGTTGAACATTTTCTTCATCCACAGAAGAGTCGGCCTGGTCGGACGAATTTATAGAGTTATCTTCAGCTTGATACGTTGGGTCTGCCACATCGTCATCGCTGCTAATGGACCAGAGCTAGAAGTTTCACTTTCGCAGGAACTTACTTCCTGCAACAGTCGCAGAAGCCTTGCTTCTTCTTTCGGATCCATATTCTATAAAGAAAAAGTTGACCTTGCACACAACAAATAAAAATTAGACGAAAATAAATCAAAACTCAAATGTGATAGACGTAAAATGAATTTAGCTCAAAGCCAATATCACATAAAATACAACGACCGTGTCCCCTTCAAAAAACAACTACTCCTTTGGCTAATACCGCAACAGGCATTGAATTACATCCGAAGGAAAGACAGCAGATTTAGAAATTAATTTTCAACACTCTCTACTTTGATTTTGCTCACCAAGGAGAACATAACTATAATTTTTGTTTATACATGATTTTTCTAATATTTTGTCCAATATAGATAGTATCCCCCTGTCGCTGGACACACTGTCACAATATAACAGCAAGCAACGAATTATGGGGTATATTCTGTAAAAATTTGGTTAGAATTAACCCTGGGTTATCAAAATAACCAGATGTAATTTTTGATTTTGTATTTATGTACTATTTGGTTAAAATAAATCTACTAATATCAAATATATTCTTTTTCTTGTTTTCAATCCTGCTTTGGGGTTAATTTCAATTCAATTTTAGGTATATTACATCGTTGCCATGTCCAGTATAGACATGGCAACGAGGTAATATACCTAAAAGTAAATTGAAATTAACCCCAACGCAGGATTAAAAACAAGAAAAAGCTGGTATAAACTGGTATTGGTTATAAAATAGCTAATAACACAAAATTAAATTGATGGAATATCGAATAGAAATTTTGGTTAAAATTTAAACGTCATAGTTATAAATAACTTTTAACCTGGAGGTTAAAATTAACTAAAACGTTCCAGAATAGACCCCTATAGTCTTTAAAAAACTGTTTATATATTCTTGAATAATTTGATTAGAATACAAAGTTTTTTTAAACAGTTATTGTGCAATTAATATAAAATCAAAACAAGTAACTATCTAACCTCAAAGCTTTTAATATTAGAGAATTTTCGCTTTATTACTATCTTATGGTTATAATCCTCGGTTACAAATTACTACAGTAAGTCAGGAAGCCAATCAAGGTTCCTAGAAACGACGCCTTTTTAATTATTGGCGTTAGAGGATTCACGACTGTCGTTAATTACTAGACAATGTTGCCACATATCAAACTAGAAAAATATTATTTTAAAGTTTCACAACTACAATTATTTTTTTTTCTATATCGTGTATGAATTAAAAATAATTATAAATGAAGCCTATATTTAATTTATACTTCATAAATTTTAGGAAAATCCTATTTTTTTATAGTTCTCGCACTTTATTTTTGTTTTGATATTCATGGAATTGAGATGTTTTTTATTTTAAATAACAACTACAGTTTAAAGTATGATTTGTAAATCTTTTGGCCTCTATTTACTGCCATCTTCAGTACTTTTATTTTAGTTAAATATTATTTAATGAGTCATTATTATTTTATGTTTATTTAATATTGGATTCTTTAATATACTTAAATACTATTAACAAATTGTTATCTCTAACAAATCATAATTGAAACTATATAATAGTTTTATTTAAAATACAAAACACCATCCCAAGAATATAAATATCCATCATTTCCTTGAACAAAAGAAATGATAATAAATCCCCATTGAGCGACATAAAAACAACGATTGTTCCGCATCTAGGATGGCATAGATCTCCCCCCGCCGATAAGTTTCGACATCCAAGAAGAGCACCACTTGCCGCCCCCGCAACAGACGTTCCTGTGCAACGCGGACGGCGGCTCCATCGTGCGGCTATTCCTCGAACAATACTTTCAAATTTACGATACGGAAAATAGACAACCCTTGTTACAAGCCTATCACGAACAAGCCCTATTCTCGCTAACCATGCAATACCCCTACGGGTACTCAAAGGAAACCAAAGGGGTGCCTTGGTTGAATTGGTACGCCACCGATAACAGGAATCTGTTGAGGGTCAGCGATCCGGATAGACGATCGAAGTTGTTGAAGCAGGGACATCTGTCGGTAGTGTCGTTTTTGCAGGAGATGCCGCAGACCAAGCATGACATACACAGTTTCGCTGTCGATTTGAACGTTTTTACGGTAAGTAGAATATATGCACCGATGTTCGTCATTAACAGGCAGTAGAAAAATTATCAGGAATATGTAATAGAGTTGATACATTGAAATGAAATTTAGAACTTTCAAAATTTCTTAAAATTTATTAAAATTTCTTAGAGGTTTTAAAAATCTATAAGGTCTTATAAACAAAAGAATCTAGAAAGAAAATGGAGTAATACAAATTTCACCTCTCAATTAAAAAAATCCCCTAATTGAACAGACAATATACAGGGTTGGGATAAAGTATGGAACCAACTAAATATCTTTAAAACGAAAAGGACGATATTTATGAAACTTTGCAGGCAAGTACAATGACGCATAACGCATCTGATGCCATATTTTTTTGTTACTACTGTACTTCCGGTTTCACCGGAAATACCCTCAACTTTTATTCTCATTAGTCTAAAAGAAAAAATTACTTTAGCAAATAATTTCCACTAAACTTATTATGTACGAATTCGGAATAACAAGATCTTTTAAAATCTGCAAAAATATACAGGGTGTCCCTTTTAAATTAAAAAAGTTGAGGGTATTTCCAGTGAAACCGGGAGTACAGTAGTAACAAAAAATATGGCATCAGATGCGTTATACGTCATTGTACTTGCCTGCAAAGTTTCATAAATATCGTCCTTTTCATTTTAAAGATATTTACTTGGTTCCATACTTTATCCCAATCCTGTATGCAAATTTTTTCCGCAAGAAAGTTACAATATCAACAATTTTGAGATGTACATTTTAGTCTGATATCTATGTCGATATTTTGTTTACATAAAGCACAACACCTCTCGCGAAAAATTTCAATTTACATTTCTCAAGCGAGTGAAACAACACTAGTGTGCTTGAATGATGGTTTACTAAAAATGTTTACGCTTTTCTACCTGCTTATTGCCTGCACCTATCCAGTCTGGAATGTGGATTAAAATTGACCGCCACTCGTTTCTTTCTGTCGGGCCACCTCCGAAAATCTATGAATCTGGTTCCGTGAGAAATCAGCGTTCCATTACACATTCTTGAAATTTTTTCACGTCTTGTATTGAAAGGCTATTGCAAAAACGTGAGATGACATTCTTTTTCAAATAATAGCGTATATACTAAACTAGCTATTGCCCGTGGCTTTGCTCGCGACTTTTCTGGCATGTGGTCGTGTTATTAATATAAAAAAATATATGACTTCTTTTTATTAGTTTTATTGATTTTCATTTATTTTTATTCATTTTTTTTTGTATTTATTAATTTTCAATTATTTTTACTCATTTTTATTCATTCTCATTCTCTTTTATTCATTTTTATTTATTCACTTTTATTCATTTTTATTCATTTTATTCATTTTTATTCATATTTATTTACTTTTATTCACTTTTATTTATTTTTATTTACTTTTATTCATTTTTATTCACTTTTATTAATTTTTATTCATTTTTATCATTTTTATCCATTTCTATTAATTTTTATTAATTTTTTTTTAATTTTTATTAATTTTTAATAATTTTTAATAATTTTTATTCATTTTTATTCATTTTTCTTCATTTTTAATGATTTTTATTAATTTTAATTATTTTTTATTAATTTTTATTTTAAATAATTTTTATTCATTTTTATTCATATTTATTTACTTTTATTCACTTTTATTTATTTTTATTTACTTTTATTCATTTTTATTCACTTTTATTAATTTTTATTAATTTTTATTCATTTTCATTCATTTTTATCATTTTTATTTATTTTTATCCATTTCTATCCATTTCTATTAATTTTTATTAATTTTTTTTTAATTCTTATTAATTTTTATTCATTTTTCTTCATTTTTATTTATTTTTATTCATTTTTATTTATTTTTATTTATTTTTATTTATTTTAAATAATTTTTATTAATTTTTAATAATTTTTTTTTTAATTTTAGTTTATTTTTATGATACTACCATACAAAAATCTAACCACAGAGCACGTTATTATTTATTTATGCTACAATTATAATTTTCAAGTTCCAACGTTCAAAAAATGTATACTTTTATACAAATTTTTACCCCCGTTTCCCCCCCTTAAAATGTGAAAATCCAAAAACCATGAAACACGTCATTTTTGATTTTTAATCAATAGCTGTAATTCAAATTTTTATGTTTTAAACTTTAAATAACAAAAAAATATATACATACTATTAAACAAATTTTCACCCCCCCATTTCCTCCATAAAATGTTAAAATGCAAAAATCCTGAAACACTTCATTATTTATTTATGATGAGAACCTACAATTCCAATTTTCAAGTTCCTACCTTTAAAAAAATCGATATCTCCAAATAAACTTTCACCCCCATTCCCCCCCTTAAAATGTGAAAATCCAAACACCCTAAAACACGTCATTATTAATTTGTATTCATTAGCTGCAATTCCAATTTTCATGTTTCTAACTTCAAAGAGAACAAAAAAATCAATAGTCCCATACAAACTTTCACCCCCCGTTTCCCCCCGTTAAAATGTGAAAATCGAAAAACCCTGAAACACGTCATTATTTATTTATGCTTAGTAGCTGTAATTTAAATTTTCATGTTTCTAACTTTAAAGAACAAAGAGTTTCATTAAAAGCTCCCTCCCTCCCCCATTTCCTCCAATTTCCCCCCTTTAAAGTTAAAATTTTGAAAAATCCTTTCTTAGCGGATGCTTACGTTATAAAATAAACCTATGTTCCAAATTTCAGCTTTCTAGGCTCAGTAGTTTTGGCTGTAGGTTGATAGGTCAGTCAGTCAGGACAAACAATTTTATATTTACAATATGGTTCAAATGAAAGGAATAAATTCATTATAATGGAAGTAGGTGGTTTTTCGAAAAAATGCTCGGACAGGTCAATTTTGTTTACTAAAAGCGCAATTTTTTAAATAGAAATTAATTTTCCCCCACTTCCCATTTTTGGGCAGTGACGTCATTGACAATTTTTTTAAATAGTAACCCCAATTTTTTTTTCTTGATTTTGATAGATCTTGCAATTTCCTACTCGGAAACATAATATTTGAAATATGTGACATAACAATTTTTTTTGAATAAAAGTCATTTAAAGATCAGATACATAAATTTTATTTTATTTTGAAACAATAAATGAATAAAAGATTATTTGTAATTAAGTGCTTCATCTAAAAAAATAATAATAATTATAATAAAAAGAATTTAATGACAATTTCACAAATTCTTTTTTATTATTATTAATTATTTTGTTAGATTAAGCACTTAATTACAAATAATTATCTTTTATTCATTTATTGTGTTCTCAAAATAAAGTAAAATTTATGTGTCTGATCTTTAAATGTCTTTTATTCAAAAAAAATTGTTATGTAAGATATTTCAAATATTATGTTTCCGAGTAGGAAATTGCAAGACCTATCAAAATCAAGAAAAAGAAATTGGGGTTACTATTTAAAAAAATTGTCAATGACGTCACTGCCCAAAAATGTGAAGTGGGGGAAAATTGAATTCTATTTAAAAAATTGCGCTTTTAGTAAACAAAATTGACCTGTCCGAGCATCTTTTCGAAAAACCACCTACTTCCATTATAATGAATTTATTCCTTTCATTTGAAACATACTGTATAGATAGATGAATATTCTCCAACAGGTGCCATCATTAACAAAAAAAGTGATAGTTTTAGAAAGGACCACCCACTTTTCTTATGCTAAATTATGTTAAATTACTTGATGTCCCCATAAAACGTGTCCATGGCTAGATTTTAAGATACAGGGTGTTAAAGTTAGAAATCCCCAATTCTTTAAAATTGACATTAAAATTCATCCTTAAATATTTTTGACTGTGTACAGTCAATATATATACTTAACTACTGCAATCAAAATAGTGTTACTTACAGGGTGATTCATGATTCCACAGACCTTTTTTTTAGTCAAAGTAGGTATTTCCTCCAAACAAAAATAGCTGCAATGCCGAAAAAAAAAATACCACCGTCAAAGTTTCTCAGTATTTGTTATTGTATAGTTCTCGATGTACTCGTTCGAAATTCTTATTGGTAACATTGGATCCTATGACTAGTTTTCCAAATATAACTTAAAGTGTACCTTATATATGAATTTGTATATTAAATATTTTGACACACTGTTAGATTATACTATTTGGAGGCAGACAAAAAAATGTCGTACTTACAGGGTAATCACAGTTGAATATGTAAAGAATAAAAAATCAACAAGAAATGTTGAAATTGTTGCCAAAGAATAGAAACTAATTGCCTTGTAAGTTGCGAGTTGTTCATTGAACTAATCCTATAAGTCCACATACAGGGTCATACATTATTTCATTACAAAAAAGTTCATTATATGGTAGGTTTAAGTAGGATCTAGAGAAATGAATTGTGATCGGATTACAGGTTTATTTGGCTCGAGCATTGTCATAAGTGCCTCCCACCCATGAGGTAAAGCTCCCTATACATTTTATTTTACGTTGCATCCCCTATGGGATGATCACAGTTGAACTTGTAAGGTGAAAAAATCAACAACTTATAAAATTGTTGCCAAAGACTAGAAAATTGATTGAAAAAGCTTATAAATATACATACATTAATATTCATAACAAATTTTGTCAAACTGACATAGTTTTTGAAATATCTAGAAATTAAAAACATTTAATGGATTCTCAGTATAAATAGTCAATGAGTAGATGAATTTATAAACATTGTTTTCTATTTTATCGGAATATACTCTGTTTAATTTTAGCTTCTGTTATTTATTTGTTAAATAATCAATAATCCAGTTCAATGCCATCTCATCAATCTCAACCTACCTAATTTTCGTTATTAATCTTCCTCTATAAACTGTCTCGAAAACTCTTTGCAGGTCCAGAAATACCGAAATTGTTTTCTATATTATTTTTCCAATCAAACAATACACCTTGTAAAGCAGTTTCACAGCTATGCTTGCTCCTAAACACAGATTGATATTCACAGAGCAAACTATTTCCTTCCAAATAATTGACTAATTGCTCATAAATAACTTTTTACAATATTTTGGCTGTGGCGCTTATCATATTAATTGGCCTCAAATGTATTGCTTTATTGCTATTTGTTACCTTAGGTATAGGAATAATGGTGCCTAATGTCATTTCAATGGGGACCCTTCATTGTTCTACAGAACTGTTAATTAAATTTACTAAAGGATCACAAATAAGATCAAAACTCTCTTTTAAAAGCTCAATATTAATGTCATCAGGACTACCTTTATTTTTTAATGAATTTAGTCTCTTTCAGTTATTCAATTGCGATAAAATTAAAATTTGTTAATTTATTTGTAATTATCTCAATTATTGGATACTCTGTGGAAAAAGTTTTATCAATTTGATCCGTAATTTCGTTAATACTTTTAATATAAAATAAATATAAGCAGTTAGGCATTAAGTGAATGTTAGATATTTCTTCTCCATCTCCCATATCAATTGAATTAAAATTATTTACTAGAGAGTTATCTGATGGCACTCCCGTTTGCATAAGAAAAGTGGGTGGTCCTTTATTTGAACTATTGAACTGTGTTTACTCAATAAATAAATTTTGTCACGTTTTTCCAAAAAGTTCTTCAACAATTTTTACTGTCTATAATTGACGACTTCGGACAATAAAAATATTTTTTTAAGAATCTACAACACAATTTTTTACTTTCAGCCTCAAATGTTATGCCTAACCGTAGCGGGTATGTTCAAAGAGTTGAAAAGCGGTCACAAAACACCGCCGCTACGTTACTTTTTCCGGACGCTCGTCATAGTGCCGGCCGGTTCGGGTTTCTGCATTTCCAACGAAGTACTGCACATATCAAACGCCACTCCGGACCAAGCGAAGGTAAAAAAGATTCGTACGAAAAAAAAAAACGTAGGTAATATTAATAAAAATCGTTTTCAGGAAGCTTTTAAAACCACAGTTAACGTCGTCGGTTCGCCCGCACCGCCTCAAGCTGTGGCGACTTCGCCCGGACCAGGCGTACCGATTCCTGCAGCTGTTGCCGTTTTTGACGATGCTACCAAACAAGAAATGGTCAAACTAATGTCGGCACAATCCGGTATGAATTTGGAATGGTCTCTAAAGTAAGTCAATTAAACATATTTGTATTTTACTTTCTTCAGATACGCCCATGTGAACCACAAACAGTCAAAAATCACTTCCCTATATACAGGGTGTTTCCGAACTTGGCGTCCAAATTTGTAGGGGTGGTAGTTCGCATAATTTAAGACCGATTCGCAGATTTCATTTTTCCAAAATATTTAAATTAAAATAATTAAAAATTTTAAACAGGTACGGTCCTGCACAGCGATAAGATCGCCTCGACTCGCGCGCGCTACGCTTAGAATCGACAAAATTGTAAATCGCATCTGTTTTTGAGTTGTAAATCCCGATAAGTAACCGATCAGGCAACTATTGCGCAACGCGCTCAGGGTAGAATCCGCTCTTTGAATTTTGTTATAATGGCTCTATTTTATTTATTATAATTTTTAAAAAAATTAAATCTGCCAATCGCTCTCAAATTATGCGAACTACCACACCTACAAATTTGGACGCCAAGTTCGGTATGCTTTCGCTTATTATATGGTCCAGTGACTAGAACAAAAATGCGATAACTGTAGTGGACGAATGAATAATGGTGTGAAACTTGAATTAAAAGGTTTTATTATTCAAAAAGTGACATTAGTGAAAAGTTAAAAATACAATATCAATCAAAAAATGATAATTCAACTCAAAAAAGAATGTCGAATAAAGAAGGGTAAGGGGTGGTTTCCATACGTTCGTTTTTATTTTTTAACAATAACTAACCACTGAGCAAATTCTATTTTTATTTCACTTTATCTATAATACACATAGATGATATTAGAGTTTCAAGTGTAAAAAGTCGAACTCTGCGCCGACAAAAAAATCGTTTTTTAAATATGTTTCAAATACTCGAATCAAATGAAGAAAGATCTCACCAAATACTTCTTCTATATTCCTCCTCCGTTTGAAACTTGTCTGAACAGCTTACACTGCTATCATAAGTCCGTCATATGACCTTTGGCACTTGGAACAATGAACTTTCTTTGTATTTTGTCGAATTTCCTATTCCGTATTAGCTAATATCACTTATTCCACTATGACATTTTTCTCATCTCAAATTATCAAGGGTAATATACCAAGATCTTGATAATAGTCAGCTATTTTTGTTGAATCTAAATCTCGAGAATATTTTAATATCAATTTGATGAGACATAATTTTTGGCATTAATAATCTGATTGATCAATTGATTATTAATGCCAAAATTATGTAGAATCAAATTGTAAAATGTTTGAGAAATTTAGCAACAACAAAAATATCAGAATATTAATTAAGGTCGAGTTATATTTGGAACGACTATTTCACTAGACCAAATATAGACTATTTCTCTAGAGAAATATTTGTTGATATTTGATGTAGGGGAGATAGTCATAATTATTACCTGCCCCACGTTGGGCGCCAAAAATGTTTTGATTTGCTCAGTCGGTAAGGTTCAGATATAATTAGATTCTCGATGGTGAAATAACACAAAGTGGTAGATGTTTCTCAGATTACAAGCATAGGGACAGTATTTTAAATGTCTCAATGAGATCACCTCTGGTTTTCCTGTCTCTTAAAGTTTTTGTGGCAATCTAGTTATTCGCCTTTGAACTCTTTCTATCTACTCTTTGTCTAAGATATATGGATGGATGTATGCTCAGTGAGAAAGCCCTTTAACAACTTCAGTAGTTTACCCCTAACTTCAAAATGTTCTAATTTTTAAAGCAAAAACTCTGTTGGTACTTTATCGAATGCTTTTTCAAAATCAAGGTAAATGACATCAATCAAGGAGGTTTCTCAATGTTGATTTCCCTGTGAGAAAGACATGTTATTCCGCTGGTAAAACATTATCTAGTAGATATTTCGCTATTATTTTTTTCCATGCATTTACATAGTGAACTTTCAGGCTACTGCGTGTGCATATGTTGGAGCATTATTTTCAACCTATTCTTTAAGTTCTTGGATTTTCTTTTCTAGGTTAGTGATTCTATTATTCATGTTTGGCAGGTTCTTGGATATTAGCGTTGAATAACTGTGTAAAGCGTTTTTACAAACATCACATGCACAGCCTAACATTCCCTTGATGTCTTTTGATTTTGTTGTGCCCGTAAAATATAACAGTCTTTACATTTCGAACATTCCAGCTTGGTCATCGTGTTAATTTTTATGATTTACGTTTTTCAGGAGAAAAATGATTTAGTCACCAATCTATTACTTATTTAATTAAACTTAGTGTTTATGTGTTGTTCTAACATTTTGCTTTTTAAGTTAATATAAATGATTGTGCTTAAATTTCGTTATTTGATTTCTTATTCTAACTGATCCAATTGACGTTTCAGATGCCTGGAAGAGACGCAATGGGATTTCCAGAGGGCGTTGTTGACGTTTCAAAGTTTGAACGCGCAGGGCGTCGTACCGGCAGAAGCTTTCATAAAATGATACTTTGATTACGTGTACACTTAAGTACATAGGATTGTAAACAATGTTTTGTAGAAAAAAATCGGGTATTTTTTTAAGAATAATCGGCGAGGACGATTTTTTTTGTATAATTTGTTTTTGTGATACTGGTGTAGACACGGTTGAAAAAAATGTGGCAAATGTGATATTGGTTTGGTTTATTTTTCGAATTTTTTTAATTTGAAAAATAAACGTAATGAGATAATATCGTTAGTTTGAGTATGTGGTTATAATTTTTAATGAGACTGGTTTATTTTGTTTTAAAAATGGCTTGTAATACATTTTATTAATGATTAGTTATAATACCTGCATTTTCTGTTTGTAGTTGTATATATATTTTTAAAGATATGTCTACACTGGTAAAAAGAAAAACTTGTAAGAATAATGTAGTTTGATTAAGAGAAATATGCATTTTGGTAATTGTTTCTTTCTAACCAATACGAAATATAGTTCAAAGATTTATTAAAATCCGACTTTTAAATATGTACTCGTGTAGGTAAAGGGCAAATTTGTGTTCTTTTAAAAATTTGTTTTACTTAATTTGTTAAAAAACAGAAATATTGATATTTCGCGATTTTTTTTTTTTTTTTATAAAATTTAAATAAAATTTTGGGAAATTGGTTTCAAAAGAATACAGATCTCTACACGAACATATTTTTTTCAAAAAATAAAAATCGACTTTAAAAATGGGGTGAGTACTACCAAATTTGACATAATTATATTTCGTATTAAAATAAGACAATTATCAAAGTACCACTCTTAATTAAAAAAAAATATATATAATAAAAAAAACTGTTAAAAATAAATAAATAATTTAGTAAATTCTGTGTACATATTATATTTTTTATTATACTTTTTTATTTATATATTGTGTATTTTTTAGTAATCAATAATTATTGATCATACTATTTATAAAAATTATTGTTGGTATACGGGGGAGGGTAAAAACATTCGTAGTCGGAAATATGGACACATTTTAAAACTAAACAAGGCCTATACAATCATGTTCTGTCAGTATTCATGCACAAAATTTAATATCTGATATGCGAAAATGTAGATTCAAATTCGTATACGAGGGAGTTACCAGAAATATTTGTGATTAAGAATAAAATATCAATTAATTTTCGTTAAATTGCCACGCTGTACATTATATCAAATAAATCGTACAGTGTGAGGGAAACAAAATTAAAATTTTTAACGAAAATTTTGCAATATTCTAAAGTTTGTAATTTTTGTAATCTTTGTTTCATGTTATTGTTTACGAACTTAAAACGAAGATCATTTTTGATGTGTTATAAACTGTATAGATGTACTTTTAGTTTTTTTAAAATGCTGTTTTTGAGAATCGTAGTTTGTAATTGAAAAAAAGTGTTCAATGTGATCAGACTGTAAATAAATCTAAGTAGAGAAATAATTTTTTTAATAATAAAAAATCTATGATGATACTTGTTTTTTTATTAATCCTTTTTCCCCATCAAGAGTATATTTTTCTCAAAAGTTGGGAGGAGATTTTGGAGGTTAACGCCCAGACAGCACACCAAATCCTTTGGCTATCTACTGAACATCCCAATCTCCACTGAATGTCCAGTCCACGGTGGATATCTATTTTATATCCATGAAATGTAATTTATAGACATGCAAATGTCCATAAATACTAGTAATTATACCGGGTGTCCGCGCGAAAACTTTAAATGGAATTATTTCTGGTGTTTTAAAATACATCGACTTGAAATTTTGGAAGGTCATTAAGGAAGTAGGAAGTAAATTAATAGTGTATAAGATACCACTCTAACGTGATATCTGCCACCCCCGGTTCAAAAGTTTAAATGACACCCTGTATTTTTTTTTACATATTCTGAAAGAGCGTAGTTTTTTTAGTATCTATGTGAAAAAATTACTTAATTACATAATGAACTTTGAAAGATATTTACAGCTAAAGGTTCAGATACCAGATATTCAAATATCGAAAGCCAAAAATAATAGCAAGCCATGAAAGCTGCTTCGTTGCTTGAACCGTCAAATAATATTGTTTTTTTACTACTAACATGAGAAATCACCATTATTTACTCCATTCCTCTAATGAGAAGTAATATTTCTCTCCCTAGGTAAATAATGATAATAAAAAAAAACCTAGGTAAATAATGAAACTAAATTTCATTAGTTTCATTTTGTTAATTTGACAACTAAACTCCCAGACTACTTGATATTTTGAAATATTTGAAAAATAAGTAGGAAATAACTAAAGCTGGGTTTATTAAAATCTAATCAAATCAAATATGATAATATATATCAGTGTAAACACTAAAAATATATATTAACTAGGAAATTCAACACCGGCTTTAAAAATTATTAATTAATAACAATAAATCCATGTCATTAAAATATCAAAAATGCAATGGGATATTTCCTAGAATCATACCAAAATTTGACACATGCCAAATTTTTACATAAATAAAGCCAGTCTGATTAGAAACACGCTCCAGTCTGCTTGATATTTCGAAATATTTAACAAATTGTTAGGAAATTACTTATGTCAAAATTAAAATTGCTAATACATTAATGTTAGTAGTAAAAAAAATTCTATATATACCTCGGCTGAGAAAGCTATTATTTACCTCGCACATTATATCCCTCGGCGCTACGCGCCTCAGGATATAAAAGTGCTCGGTAAATAATAGCTCACTTCTCACCCTAGGTATATAATGTACTATTGTGACACTTCTGTTTACTCGTTAGTACAAAAGTTTTCGAAAAAATTTGACTTAGTTTAAATTAAATAGCTAAAAAAATAGAAAAATGGTTTACAGTTTGGAAGAAAGAACTGAAATTGTAGTTTTATATGGGATTGCAAACAGAAACTATTCGCAGACGGCAGCATTATTTAACGAAAACCATCCCAACAAAAATGTATCTGCTGTTTATGTAATTAATCTAATACAAAACATTTTTGAAACTGGATCGGTAAATAATAAAAAACGTGATATGAATAATCGTGGAGCACGAGATGAAGAAACGCAAGTTGCAGTTCTTGGTCACGTAAATTTAGACCCACAGCTTTCAGTTAGAAAATTATCAGAAGCTTCGGGAGTGGCAAAAACAACGTGCCATAAAATATTAAAATTAAATAAAATGCATCCTTATAAAATACAGCTTCATCAAGAGTTGGGCGACGATGACTTCGATAGAAGAGTCCAATTTTGTGAAACTATGACAGGCATGATTCGGCAAAATAGAAATATTTTGCGAAATATTTGTTTCAGTGACGAAAGTTGCCTTTCCTTAAATGGTTTCGTAAATATATAGACACAATTGTCGATATTGGAGCGATGTTAATCCCCACGTTTTCCGAGAAGGCTATACGTCCCCAAAAAATTAATGTATGGGCTGGAATTCTAAATAACCAAATAATTGGTCCAATTTTCTATCACGAGAATTTAACTGGGCCTAGATATCTCGAGTTTTTAGAAGAATTAATACATCCTCTTATCATTCAATGCTTGGAAGAAAACTTAGATCAAATGCAGGAGGATCAGTTATACTTTCAGCAAGACGGAGCTCCCCCTCATTACTGTTTAGAAGTAAGGCAATATTTAAATACCGTTTTTCCAGGACAATGGATAGGTCGTAGGGGTCCTATTGAATGGCCAGCTCGCTCCCCAGACTTGACCCCACTGGATTTCTTTTTATGGGGACATTTGAAGTCTGTTGTTTACAGGACACCACCACAATCCATTGATGATTTGCGTAATAGAATCATAGAGGAATGTAGAGATTTAACACCACATGTCTTTGAAAATATTCGGAACGCTTTCGAGAATAGACTGTACTATTGTTTAAATGTAAACGGTGAACATTTTGAACATTTGATTTAACTGAAAAAATAAAAAGAGTCTTTACTTTAGTTTATAAAGCGAAATTTTGTTGGTCTATAAGAATACCTATTTTTGTGATAAGTTGTATTTTTTTGTGATAAGTTGTATTTTTTTGTGATAAGTTATATTTTTTTGGATAATTAGATTTTTTTGTTTCTATCTGCTTTAATTATTTCGAAATTTGTCTACTGTCCAAGGTTACTAGTTCTTTTTTTTAATATCTGGTATCTGAACCTTTAGCTGTAAATATCTTTCAAAGTTCATTATGTAATTAAGTAATTTTTTCACATAGAGATACTAAACAAACTACGCTCTTTCAGAATATGTAAAAAAAAATACAGGGTGTCATTTAAACTTTTGAACCGGGGGTGGCTGGGGGCGGCAGATATCACGTTGGAGTGGTATCTTATACACTATTAATTTACCCCCTACTTCCTTAATGACCTTCCAAAATTTCAAGTCGATATATTTTAAAACACCAGAAATAATTCCATTTAAAGTTTTCGCGCGGACACCCGGTATAGCAAATTATTAAAAAATTACGCCATTGTAGCTAATAGTACCATTCAGATATTTAAAATTATTTTTTTTAAGGTGTATTCAATATCCCATGGACATCCACTAAATATATCAAATAAGGCGCGAACGCAAACCATCGTGGATAACCACTAGATGTTATTTGATTCTGCTTACTAAGTATAGATGGCGATATCATCGCATCTACTCATGCTCGACCCGCCGTAATTGAGTTCGATCGAAATGTGTGTCGTAATCACTCCATTAGAGACTGGAGTCGAGAATTTTCATTTATTACTGAAGAGTCCTAATAACACAGGATAAAGAACGATACAGAAAAGATACATAGGGCTAAAACAGGAACCTAGCAACCGAAGCCACACCTTCTTTATGGTGGAGAATTGTCAAAAGTGAATCGTAGATTTGTGACTTGTTCGAAGTGCAACAGTGCACACTTTAGTAGCAGATGAACGAAGCTGTCGCTGTCAATATTTTTTTGCCTGTCGTCTTTTGCTTTTTGTTTGGTTTTAGCGAATATTCCACATAATTTGATTACTACCCAGACAACACACCAAATCCCAGAGATATCCACAGAATATATTTTGTGGATATCCAATATATCCACAGGATATCAGAAATATTCCGTGGAACTAATATAGATATCCAAATGTCCGTCTATATCCAGAATATAGAAGATATCCTATCGATATTCAGCAAAATATCTAATGAGTATCTCCAGACAATACAAGAAATCCCAGATATATCCATAGAATATATTTTGTGGATATCCAACCAAATGTCCGTCTATATCCCAGGATATAGAAATTCAGATAAATATTTTATAATTATTTTTAGTAGAGGTTCATAAGTAACCAATGGTTATTGAATAACGTCGAAAGAAAATAGAGGTAAAAAATATTCCCAACAATCTGCCTTTGATTTTGCCTACTAAGGAGAAAATCATCCTTATTAGGAATCTTCAGCAATAAATGGAACTTCTCGACTTCAGTCTCTAATGAAGTCTGTTTGTGAAACAATGTCGATCAAACTCAATTACGGCGGGTTAAGCATGAGTAGATACGAAAGTGGTATCGTCATCTATACTTAGGAAGCAAAATCAAAAATTACATCTAGTAGATATCCACGATGGTTTGCGTCCGCGCTTAGACTTTGATATATTTATATTTATATTTATAGTGGATGTCCATGGGATATTGAATACACCTTAAAAAAAATTAATTTTAAATATCTCAACGGTACTATTAGCCACAATGGCGAGTACAATGGCGTAATTTTTTAATAATTTGCTATATAATTACAATTATTTATGGACATTTGCATGTCTATAAATTACATTTCATGGATATAAAATAGATATCCACCATGGACTGGACATTCAGTGGATATTGGGATGTTCAGTAGATATCCAAAGGATTTGGTGTGGTGTCTGGGTATACGAGGCAAGAGAGAGGTCCGACAAGCCCAACATAGGGCGCGGCCATTTTGAATCCTGTGACACAATTTACAGCTAAAGAATCAGATCGCTCACTCTGCGTCGGCACTTTTGATCTCAATGTTCCAGTTTATACACAGCGCAACTCAGATTTGTATCCCTGGCGCATACAGAATCAATTCATAACCAATTCAGTATATGACAACCGTCTATATTCAAACAGCATTCTTCTGCGCATCCTGAATTTGTATCCCTGGAGTGGATATTATTTTGGAACATCGAATTGGTCCGAGTGAGCGAACTGATTCTT